AGAACTGTTCTGGGATCTTAAATGTTGATGGTGTTCCCCTTGTGCCATGGACTTCTGTTATACCTTATTTATCAGCATAAGCTGAAAATACCCTGTCCTGTTGTAAGATGATTTTAAATGATTCCATCTAAATGAATAGAAACATTTATTAACAAGTCAAGAGCCATGGAAAGGGTTTGCTTCATTAGCTCTAGGAATCAGGCACTTCACTCTTTTTACTTATCATCTGCAGGATTAGATCCAAATGTATCCTCTTGTTCATGGAAGCATCTTGGATCCACTAGGGGACTGCAGGACCAAAAGTGGAATTATGTATTTCAGGACTCCCCTGCAGCCCACTGGGTCCTCCCAACCCTCCAGAGGAAATACTAGAGAGGTGCTTAAGTAAGGAGAATTCAACACTTAAGAGCACCTTTTGGTGGGAGGTGGACGGTTTACTCATGAAACTCTGGATCCAAACCAATGTACTGATTTACATTGCTTCATTGTTATTTTAACCTTCTTGCCCTTAATTTGCTCTTCTCTTTATATAAAATGTGCATCTAAAAAAATCCACTTAAACTGTTGTTGTTTCATTAGATTCCATGAAATTACAATCATATGTTGTAATTTAGTCACCTCCACATAGCTTTTCAGCCCAAAATCACATTTGGAAAGGCATTTGTGTTATTTGAAGTTAATGGAATTTAAGGAACTGAATAAAGCTCAGTAAAACTTTTTGATCATCTTGCTTTATATAGAAGCAGAAACTAACATCTTCAGACAGTGCTCAAACTTTACTTTGTATTAATGTATCCTGTAATATATATCAGTACAAAAAGATGACTCTTGCGATGATTTTCCTCCCATCTTAATTTTGTACCATAGTATTCTTGAATCAATTTTTTAATGGGGGGATTTTATTACTATAAAATAGGAGGCAGATTAAAGCCCTATGTCAGACAGAAAAGGTCATTCCTTTAGGACTCAGCATGTCCTAATTAGTGTGTGCTGGTTTTAACCTATAAAGCTCTACATGACTTGGGACCACAATACCTGACTAAAGGCCTCTCCTAATCCCAAACTACAGTAATGATCTGGGACTTGCCTTCAACTGTTACTTCCAAGGGAGCTTGGTTGGTAGCAACGAGGGGAAGGGCCTTTCCAGTGACATCCTCCCAGTCATGGAACAAGCTTCTGGTGCTCACCTGGCACCATCCTTGATATCTTGTGAGCACCAGTTAAGACTGTCCTCTATGACAAGTCATGTAATTAGTTTTAAGATGTATTGTTGCACTGTCAACTGCTGCACAGGTCTTGTGACTTAATTTGAGTAAGCTACTGTAGCTGTTAGTATCTGGTTTTACCATCTGTATTTTTATTATATTGCATTTTATCTGTTGTAAAGTGCCTAGACAGCTTCAGCTACTGAGTGGTAAAGAACTATAATCAATAACAATAGTAATGATAATTATAATACATGCATTCTTATTTCTACTTATCTAGGTCTTTGGCTAGGTCTTATGATGCCAATCTTTGCACTGAATGGTGAGAAAATTTGACCATCATGGAGACTCTGAGATCATTGACATACGGTGCTTCCAATTCCATGAAGTATGTTTGGAGGATCAAAATCACAGCATGTGGTTAAACACTTTGTCTTCTCCCATCCTCTCCTCATTTGAGCTCTTGGCTTAAGTGAGTAACTTCCTGATTTGATCCAACAAAACTTTGCTGCTTCATCTGAATTACTAAACCATGTTCTAAGCTGAGATCAAACCATAGCTTCCAAAATGCAACTTGAAGGATTGGAAATTGTACCTCCACCAAGCCAAGTGGCTGGATTGGATCCCTACTTAGTTGAACTTAAGTTGCATTGAAATCAACTTATTTAATGATTTCATGAAATAAATATGCATAGTTTGCATCCAGCCCTCTGTCTTGTAAAGGTTGTTCACTATTATTTGTCTCATCACTGAGAAACCCAATGCCCAGGGCTCCTCAACAGTATATGTTCCTGCACTTCCTCAACATATAGAGTTAGACTGCAGTAATAAAACACTTACCTGGGAATTTGGTCCATTCACCTAAATGTGACTTTCTGTGAGTAGCTGAACATAAAGTTGGACAGCAAGTCTCAGAGTAACTATAGACAAATTTGGATATGATTTCTTTTCCTTAAATCTCATTCCATCCTCATAATGTATACATTCTTGATATATCATATAACTCAAATTTCTTTCTCTAATCAGAATTTGTGTTTGAAATGTCCGTTTGAACTTCATGGATTTACATGAACTGAAACAAAGCTTCTAACTCTTTTCACATGCTAATTTGTTCCTCAGTTATGCTTATTTGCAAATAGTCTTTTATTTCACCATGGGCACATCTAATTTATTTCAGCACTGGTGCATCTGAGATAAGCAAGAAGAGTCAGAACAATATACTTGGCAGACTTTGAGTTTGGGCCAAATACCTCATGAGCTTCTGCTTTCGGCAGCATTTTAGAAGCGCTTTTTGAGCATCGTCCTCTAAGAGTGCTGCCTGTTAAGTAATCCAGTCAAATGCAGCAGAAGTGCAATCTTCACTAATTTTAACCTATCTTTGAATCTGGAATCAAAGAGATTTGTAATAGCATGACCTGGCTGTAATTGTATTTTCATTGTTATTGTTGCCATTAAAAACTGCTTTTAGATGCATGCCATTCTTTATTTGGGGGGTGGGGGCAGGGATCACAAGTTATTTTAAAAAATTCTACTCACTCCAGTTCTTCTTCAGACCTTGGTGAAACAAGAAAACTTTTCCCGTATCTGAGATTTTACATCGAAATAGGACATTTAATGAAAAGCACTGATAACAGCACAATGGCAAGGGCTTATACTGCTTCACATGCATCGTTACTATGATCCTTACAACAGTCCCGCAATGCAGCCTGTTACCATCACCACCTTAGCATAATTATTCTCCTCAAAAATTATTTGCCCCCTATTGCTATCGCTGAGGCTAAGAGCACAGCGGCTTGCTTGAGGCCACCCACTGAGTTCATGACCGAGATGGGATTTACGTCTGGAATACCCAGGTTCAAATGTGGATGGACCAGCAGCACCAAAGGGAACTGTTCATCCCAGGGCTGCCTTGACCTATGAGACACTCTTGCGTAATAATGGAGGTGGAAGGAGAAGGAAGAGCTCCAGTCAGACAAGAGGCAAAACCTGTTAAGGGGTGTGTGTAGTTTGCAGAGGCTGATGAACCTAAAAATCTGGGTGTGAGACAAGCCTGGGTCAATGAGGGGTGACTTTGCTCAGGGCCCTGCACTGTGATGGCAGCTCTTCCTTTCCAGTGAGCACAAGGAAGCCCACCATGAATGCAAGTTATGTGGTTTTGCTGCATGGCACTGTGGGCAATTAGGAGGATGGCTGCCCAGCATTCTCCAGAGGAGAGGCTACCCAGCTGTTCCCTGTCCAAGCAGAAATGGCCATGAGGGCACAGCAGGGAGACCATGGATGGCTCCATGCTAAAGGCCCCCCAAACTAGAGCCGGGCTCCATATGAGAAGGGCCCTGCTTTGAGAACAAGAGGTCAGGACTATTTCTGACACATTCCGTTTGTGACTTCAACCACCCTGTTTCCTGCACTAGCTGACATTTCTGCAGGGTTATATTTATGTGATAAAGAGGAAAGAGAAACAAGTCCAGGAAGTCTCCATATGCAATTTTATTAGCACAAAAATAATTGTTTGGATTGTTGTCAAAACACAAAGTTTTATGAAAGAGAGAGCAAGTGGGCATGTGTAGATGTTGTGGGCAAGCACACACATGTATATGGGATAGAGGATGACAGAGTCAAGCAGATAAGGAGACTTGAGTGTTGGGACCAGACCTTTCAGTGAGCCATGGGGACATTTTAGTATCTCTCCTAACGTTGGGAAATAAAACTACTTAAGCTTGGCTTGTTCAATGGCGGACATGAATATCCTCTTCTGAAGTACTTTATATCTTTCTATTGAACATAATTCACTTGAATTTGCCCCACATCCTATGTATTGGATGTTGCGCCCCATTATATTAATTGTTATGAAAGAGGAGAGTCTTTCCTCTTGTTATCATCTGTTATAATACTTAACATTTACTTCTTAACATAGGATCTCATTGTCCTAACTGTATAAGATCTTTCTTTGTTCCTGCCTCATTGTCAGCCTTATCCTAAGTATATTTACTCAGAGAGACGTTCCGCTGAATTCAATGGGACTTGCACCTCCACAGTGTATGTGCGTAAGATTACAGCCAACCACCACTCATGTGTGTTTACTTGGAAGCAAGTCCCACTGCATCCAGTGGGGCTTACTCGTAAGTGGGTACGCAACCGCAATCTAGTTTTTCTTTACCCCCACTTCCCCCTTTTAGCCTGTTTTTCCCTCACCAGTAAGTCAGTACAAACAGTCCCCATTAATTGGCCTTCTAATAGCTGAGAATCTTTCGAAAGGGAGGCTGAGTGAGGCATGAGGGGCTTAGGAATATTTGCACCTCTGCTATTGCTGATTCCTAGAACTGACAACAAAACTGTGTCTGCCCATACTCTGTTGCACTGTACAAAACATCAGTGAGATTGATCCCTATGAATCATTCTAAGTTCTCAAACAAAGCACCACGTCTCATTCTCAGCCATAGGAAATGCAAATACAAAGAAGAATTCAGATGATAGCAGTTTAGGAACATGAAGCCATATGACCAAGTGAATTACTGTATGCAGATGCACAGGAAATAATTGTACAAGGCAGCATGGATACATCACAGTACCACTGCAATGGAAGACATTTGTATTACCTTTACTTCTCTGAATAAATTCAGATGACAGCACCATTTCATTTCTTCATTCAGTTTGGAGGCCAGATGGCATTAGAATCATTTACTTCACCTTGTTGTGTTTAATTACTACAATCAACACACTATTTTCCAAATTAATCATAACAAAGTAATTTCATTAGTAACACAGCAGGCTGTTGAATTATTAGCATCATAACAGTTTGCAAACAATTAAACTTTATTTGAACCTTAAAAATTTGCAGCGTGGAACATTATTGTAAGATCTAATGGCAGTATAGTACAAATCCAGTACAGAGCAAATAATCAAGCAAAATGCTGCATAAAATATGACTTACAAAATAGCTCTTTTCGTATTCAGAAGAATACAAAGGAAGAATAAGCAAACAGTGAGAACAAAGCAATTAGCATATAGTGCAACATTCTTTTCTTTTTTAGTCACATTAATAGGGAATTTGCACATCCCAAAAAAGGTTATGGTATTTGTCAAGATTTCAAAACAAACATTTCAACTCTTTTACTTTGCTGGTTTATTCCAAGGCATGTCTGGTTAAAAGATGAGAATATAATATCTTAGAAATACCTTCTTCTTTTTTACAAGTGTGTGTATTTGCTAACATATCACTTTGTACTATGTGAGGAAAAAGGTTATGAAAACAATAAAACTGCTGCTGTCTATATCATCCTATCAACAGAAAAAAATGGTTTGAAGGGTCTGTCATTCATCAGTTGGCTAAGGACTCCCTCTCCTGGATTTACATGAAAAAGTGAAAGTAAGACCCTCCAAATATTTTAAGCTGCAAAAAATTCATCTGTGCATGACAAACTCCTGTGGGGGGATGGGTTTCCCAGCAATTCAACCTGCAGTGAAAGTCTACTGCCATCTACTGGCAAATCTCGGTCATACAAAAATGTTTTTCTCCAAATTCTCCTATTTAAAGCTATACTGGTATTAGGTAACTGTGATGTAACTCTTGGTTTGTTAATGAGCATTGTTTCTCAGGGATTTCAGTCACAGCCATTAATGGCTTTAATCCTTGTTTAAAAAAAGATATTCGTTTGCCGATAACCTCTCTTTAAATAAGAATGGCATTTTGTCAATGAACTATGAATTATATCAAAAAAACATCATTTTTTTCATTATTTCAAAATGCAACTGAAGTAAAATTATTCCCTGACTACTGCTCTGGATGACAGTGGAGGGACTAACCTCTAACATGCAATTAATTTGTTAGGGAGAAGGTTAACAGCTTTGCCTTCCCTTTGACATGCCAATTTTATGGACTGCCTAGACTTAGTTGAGTGGGAGCTAACTGGGACTAACTTTGACAGCAGTCCTACACACACTTACTGGAAGATAAAGTTGGAGAGCTCAATAGGACCTACATCTGAGTATATAAAGGACTGCACTGTTAGCCTGCATCCAGTCTTCTATACGTGAAAGCTTGCCCTCAATTGCCATGGTAAGAACATATTCAAACATGCTTTCTTGCCTGCAGTTTGGAGTGGCACAGTCCAGGAATAATTCTACAAGCTTCTGAATACACGATATGGCATAATCACTTTTTACCATGTGTTAAATTGTTTGCTTGTCTAGGCCTCTGTTTACTAGGTTCTGTTTGGAAAAACCGAATAGCAACAAGGAGCAATACAGTACCAAGTCATCTCTAAAAAATGCACAAGATGCACAAAACAACAGCCATACTGTTTCTGTTTATATATATTTTGTGAGACCATGTTAACCTGAGAAGTGTCTTAGTCATTCTTGGTATTACAAGTGCATTCATTATAATACTAAAATCTAAACATACCATATAAAGTTATAATCTACACCCAGCTGACTAAGCTAGGAGGAAAGCCGTACAGTAATCAAAATTACTGTGATACAACTGTGTACAAGCAAGAAACCCAGAAAAGGAAAAGGTCAACCCATTCAACACCACCACAACCACCACTACCGTTTGCAATGTTCTGGGAAGGAGCATTTCACACCCTTCCCAAATCACTACTAGAGACCCAGGAATACGTAGGAATTGGTTCTATAAAGTGCAACACAAAGCTCCTCCAGTTACATTAAAATTGTAGATTGTGTTACGATTCATACAAAGTAGAATCTACTACCACAGAGTCAAGAACTAATAATTTGAATCTATTTAAGCATACGTTTCTATTTAAAGTAAAATGAAATGTACTGTTTGAAAGGGGAAAAGCCAGAAGAACATTAACAAGAAAGAGCCATTACTGTTTATCACATACATAAAGTAGAAGTATAACATCTTGGGAATACATTTTGCATCACTCATCTCAAAATGGATATAAGACTGTCCAGGGCTTCTTGCAGATCTACCTCTCCTTCTTTTCAACTGAATCTGCTCAGGATACTTTTTCTGTGCTTTGGGTCCATTTAGTAAAACAGTAATAAATGCATGAATTCAACATTTTCTCACCTCACCCTATCACCAGCACGACAGTTGACAATGTCCAAAGCAGCTCATAAGGAACACCAAAGATCAAACATAGCATTATAACTGAAACACAGACACAAAGGTTTGTGCTTTTAGTAGGCGTCTGTATGTGTTTTTCACTGGCATCTGTGGCACTATGCTAGTCGTTGTCCAATACATAGACTCCACCTGATTAGAGAGGAAAATAAATAAATGAAATCCACATAATAAGTATCATGCATTATTATTTTCTATACTATCCAATAGTCAAAGCTCTCTGGGAAGTTTATTACACTTCAAACCAACGGCATCAGTCTCCAATAAGGATGTAGACAAGCACACATAGAAATGCACAAGCCAATCAAGAAGACCACAAGGGCCTTTATTTCTATCATAACTATAAAGTATATTTGAAAATTTTAAACAGAAAGTTGTCCTTACCTGCACTGATCAAGTTTTAAAGGAAGAGATGGCAATGATGAAATTCAATGCATTTTAGCCAAACTACAGCTATCCCCAAGCCTTCCATAAACAGTAGCTAAGGGAGCCAGCATGAAAGATTGCCCCTGCCTCCCTCCAATATCTGATCACAACGGAAATCTCCTTAGCCCTTTGTGTTGCATGGCCACTAATAGTTACCCATTGTAAGCTATAACAATGCTACTTGCTAGGATGTGTTCACAGAACCAGGAATATTAACACTGGCTTGAGAACATTCTTGATTCAAATTGTGGTAGATGGCAACCCACCAATGGAGAACACTTTCTTGACATGCCTACATCTCTTTAGTTTTATCTTTGTGCCCATGGAATGAAACCACAAGCCTGAATTAAATCTTAGCTGCAGGATGTTGGAATTGTCAGGGGTTGTTGTCGGATCTCTTCCACCTTGTGATAATGTAAGAATGGAAGCGTGTGGGGATAAGGTCTGAAGCAAGCATATCCCCAAGCCAACTTTAGCATTCCTAGATTTGTAAACAAACCCTAGTAAGCAGCACAACCTCATTTCTCTGAATGGCCTGGAAGCCTTTTAAATCATTCCTATAATAAGAAATGTGGACACACGGGGAGTGCAGCACAGTGTCATCATCTGACTGCAGCGTACACTGAATGCAGTAATGGGTATTCTGCAGCAAAATTATGGTCCTTACTTAAAACAGCTATGAAGCAAACAGCATGCAGGGAAATGAACTTATAAAGTCCCATATATGTGAAATACCACACATATATACCTCGTATAAGATGGGGGAAAACAAAGGATACAGTGCAAATGGGCCTATTGATTTTCCATGGGACTCTTAAGCACCAATTAGATTTCTCCCATGGAAAGCAGTCAGACTTAGCTTTGCTAGGATCATTTTCAGACTCTGCATTAAAAGTAGTTTCAGGCTGCACAGAGACAGAACTGCACTGGGCACAGTGTGTGAGGGGCTCCTGACTCTGATGTCTCAAGCCCCTCTTCCCCTTCCCTGGAATGATCATGGTGGTGGTGGTTGTGATAATTCTAATATTAATAGCCATCAAAAATATAAAGTTTGTATTAATAAATGTATGAAGGTAGTGCCTTAAAATGAAAAGGAAGCGAGCCTGTTTGAAGAATGAGGACAAGGGCAAGACTGAGCCAGCGTTCATTTTGCTAGTCTGTATGTCTGTCATTTATGCCGTGAAGGCAAGAGGGAGCCAGGCTCACCGTGGACGAGAAAAATCTATTGTGATTCCTGCTTCAGTGTTACATCTGTATGCCTCTTTAGAAAATTGAGGTTGAATAATGCTGGTTGCAGAAAGGATGTTACATCATGGAATGCATTTTTTTAAAAAAAGAACAACACAATAATTCATTTGATTTTTTTAAAAAATCATATATGACTTTTTTCTTTCCGATTTATTTATTTATTTATTTAGCTGCAATCTTTGTCAACAGAACTGCAGCAAAGGTTCCAGGAAAAGAAATCTGTATGAAACAGAGAGCAAGGGAACATATAAGCCATTACAGAAGATTGAATTAAAATGTACTTACCCGGGCCTCTCAAATATCATACATCTCCATTATGTAGGCTTTAGGCACCAAGCCAATGGTTCCTTTCATTTCTCCTACCCACCAGCCAAACCTATTGTACTCCTAATTGAAAACAATATGCAATATTAACCTTTAGTCCGATATAAATGCAATAGAGTTTTGCATGTGACTCCTTAAGTTTCTTCCTTATATACAGTTACAAGAGCATGAATGGAAAATTAAAACATTAAGGAGTTGTGTGTGTGTGTGTGTGTGTGTGTGTTTCTGAAGCACTTGAAATGCAGTTAAGCAAGGCAGGAAATTACATTTTAAAATACCAGGTATCTATTACTATGTCTGGGGGTGGAGCGGGGGAGAGGGAAATTCTAACTATATATGGATCCCCATAACTAGCCAAAGTTCACCCAAGGAGCAGACAGGAATGGAATCATATAATGACATGTTTTATAGAAGAAATATACAGAGATATGCACACTGTACCAGTATTATTCATACAAATCCTGTACCTAAGTATACTTAGTTGGATTTTTGCTTTTAATGACATAAAATTAGTTTGTTGCTGTTTACCTGGCGTTTGTTTTTTGGTATTATCCATGTCATATTATTTTATATGATTTATCACATTATTACGCTCACCAGGAAAACTTTTATTCAGTAGTTTCTGAACCGAGTTCACCTTGCTTCCTCGGAGTGTTTTGTTCCCTACAACTGGCATGCTTCCTACCTTCTTCCAACCAAAGCATATTAACAGCTAACATCTGAAAACGAGTACTGTATAATAAGCAAGACAAATATCCACAGGGACCCATTCAGTAATGCAGTCTCAAGCTGTAAAGGACCTTGGTTTGTTAACGCCATGTTGAGTTCACACAGAAGAATGATGCTTTCCATACAATCTCTGTACCTTCCCAGAACCCACCTTTGCATCATGCCAGAAATTTTATCGCAGCTCTTATATGCCTGGCAGATGACTAATGTATTGTGGTTTGGAAATTTGTTTAGGCTTAGCAAGATAAATATGACACAAAACAGGTATATGATAGTTTAAGGACACAATATTTTCCAAAAGCAATACCACGTAAGAGCACTGTGGGATCTAAATGTAATTTTTGTCTCTCTAAGGTAAATATCCATAAGATCAATCCTAGCAGCAGCTCAATGACTTTCAATAGCTGAAACTGCACCCTTGCATGCTGCCTAACATGGGAAGCAGCAGAAAAATGGGAGACCTCATTTACAAACCAGACTTTCTTACTTAAACTAGGAAAGCAGAACACGCATGACTTGGTTTATGATGGACTAGGCCATCAAGGGTTGTTTAACCCACCAAGAGCTGTGGCATATGCCAGGTGACATTTTGAATACACAACTGCAAGTGGAGCATTGCTCTATCATGCGAAGACTGTTTAATTCACAAATAATCCTCAGTAATTGGGTCTGAATGAGAGAGCAACCCCTGCTTGTGAGCCAGTTGTATCATGCAAAGAGGTCCAATGACTTAGATAATGGAAAACTCCAACCTTCTGCTTCAGGTCTTTACCAAGGAAACATCGATGTTTTTACCTGAAGCTAAGTATTAATAGAATGCTGAGGAGAATCTGTCATGTATATGAGATGCAAATTCACCCGTCCCTTTCTAGAGCTTTTAGAAGAATGAAAACTCTGAAGTACAAATATTACTCCCATCCCTTGAAGGACAATTTTCTCATGCCACATCTATTAACTCTACACTCACATATGCTCTCTATCCTCGCCATCTTCAGTTGATGCTCATCTCCCACCTGCTTCCATCTGTTACACCCAGGTTGTGCTATTCAGACAATCCAAAAGGCATCTTGCTTCCCGAAGCAGGCTATACCTTGTTCCCTTTCCAAGGACCTCCTGATCTGGCACTAACACCCATTATCCTGGAAGTGGCAGCAGAAGCTCTTGTACAGGCACACCAAAACACAAACAAGACGGCAGCGTTTTGTAATGGGTGCAGTCTTGGTTATAAAAAACAATGGACTTCTCCTGTGGTGTGAACGATTTTAAAAACATGAGTGAGGCTGTGAACACCATGGCATATGCTAAGCACAGTCATTAGCTGAGCACCTACAACAACAAACAGGCCCAAGCTCTGCATTCAAAACACATGCCTGCAGGGGACCGAGAGGCGCTCCAGGAAGGAGTGCATTTCCCCTGTTCCCCATTGCAGTGAATGATGCTGCTTCATCAGAGCATAGCAGAACTGGGCCACTCAGCCAGCCAGGAGGAGCGTTATGCCTACAGCAGCACTGGAATGACTGTTCTGGGGCCAAAGCCCTCAAAGGCAAGAGGCGCTTGCTGTCTCACCAGGGGTTCAGATGCTCCAGCTGTGAGTGTTTGTTTAATAAACACATGTTTTATCCCACATTAGCCTGCTTAAATACACAGTCTATGTCTCTACAGACTTAAAGAGCAAGTCATCACTCATGATGCCAGCCCTCACCTGTGCTACAGAAAGCTTGCCAAGAAAGCTTTCGGAAAAGGGGAGAAACAAAAGAAAAGAAGAAAAAAATCACCAAGCACCACTTTTGAAGGTTAGCCAGGGGAAATACTCTTACATGAGACTAAGAGCAAACAACACGCAGTTTACAGAGAGCTGCTTTAGTTAAGTGATCATTACAGTTTTATGATGAATGGCAGAGAATAAAAGCACTGTACTAAAATACAGAATGGAAATATTCCATGCTGATATTTTGTGAACCTGAGAACAACATACTTAGGAAAAACTACTTCAGAAGCCTCCAATTATTTATTTTAAGTTGATTTCTTTAAAACTTTCAATTACTTGCTATTTCCGAATATACAATTTAATGTGCTTGTGTCAGGCTAAATGTTCAGATGAAGTGGATGGTGATGTAACAGTCTAGTAAGCTAATTTATGGATTGGCTGCAGACATTAGAATAGAAAGGACAAGAAGGCAACAGCAGTTGCTTCTACTTTATCATTACTATTCTTGGTATGAGCCTCATGAGCAAAATGAATCACAATGAAAGCATCTGTAGTATAAGCAAGAACAAATGAAAACACAAACTGGCTTTATGGGGAATGCAGCAGGTCAGAATCATCATTGCAAAGAGATGCCTTTTAACTAGCTAATGTATTTACAGTTCTTCCTTAAAATGCTTCTAACTTTCATACACACACAAAAGACTGTTGCAGATGCATTACTTTCAGTGACAATTAAAAGCAACTGATTCAGGCTACCCTAAGAGTAATACACAAAATACTGCACTGGCACAGTATACAGAATAAATAAGTAAATCTTAACATTCACTTCCAGGGAAGCTATATTAGGGGAATGCCTATATTCTAGAAAAGCTTTTCCCAAGCTGGCGCTCTCCAGATGTGCTAGGCTTCAGCTCTGATAATCTGCAGCAAGCATTTGTACTATTTACCATGCCTTTGCTCAATATTTTTTAATTTGTTGAGAACATCAAATCAATTAAAGAAAGGATTATAGTTTCAGAATACAGAGGTTAAGATACAAATGTAACTGTTTCTCAAAATGAAATGCTGACAAAATAATTTATGCTACGGAACAGCTCTTTAAATGCAGCAGTTCATGTAAGAGATCAGAAAGATTACTTCTCTCTGCAGAGAATGGGCTTTTTGGAGCATCTCTAGAATTTAAAAGTCATGTCTCTGTTCTGCCGCTAACAAACAGACATTATGAAGCAGCCAAATATTTAATTTTAGTGGAAAATGTGCACCATGGAAACCTCAGGTGTTGGTTGCCTATTTACCCTTATTCAGGTATGACTAAGGCTACTACCTGGTATTCCTCATAAATTTAGGTATACTGTGTATTCTTCCCATCAGCTATAGCTTTGGCAATTGACTCCACTTCAGAGAGACTGATAAAATAATGAAGAGTCCTTTAATCTGCAGGAAACCATTCCAGTCAATTTATAAGAAATATTGCATTCCTTTGTAGGATGTGTAATTATTTTCTATTAATCATGCGCTATAAAGCTACATTATGTGGTTATTCTGTTATCACTAGAAAGAGGCCTGCAGTCAGCTCCTGACAATGTTAGGTAATTACTAACACAAAGCTTCTTTCTCCCTCTGTAGAAATGCTATCAAGATCCAGGAGCTCTGTAATGCTTTATTGTATGAAAATAACTCTCCAAAGAAATTAAAGAGCTGCATAATAAATTGCTTAAAGGCAAACCTGGGTATCTTTCGGAGAGAGGAAGAGAAGGAGAGAAGGCAGGAAAATTCTTTCGTGTGTGTGTGGGGTGGGGGGGGGTAGATCCAGACTTTGTCATACTTAGAGAAGACCCAAAGAAATCAATAAAACAAGTTAGTCATGACTGATTTAGTTAGGTCCCATTTGTTTCAATGGGCTTACTCTGCATATGATTGAGTCTGGCTCCTACACTTTGGAAGAGAACATAAAAACACATAAAAACATAAAAGAACTAGCAGAGGCATTTCAAAACACTTTAATAATAATGACAGGAACCCAAACTTCATCTAGAACAATTAATCACCTTTCCTGAAACACTTTGCAACCTGGCAGGAAATTTTGATTGTGCAAGTACTTGGTTATCCAAGAGGTTTTGGCTGCAAGCCTACACATAGTTGAGGTGGCTTAAATCCCAAAACTTCAGAATTTCATTTCTAATAAATTAGTCAGGAATAGATTTAAGAAAAACCATGTGCTTCCTTAGTATAAGAGAAATCATAGATTTCAACAGGATTTTTTAAAAAAACTCTATCAAAGGGTAAAGAAAAATATATAGTTTGGTTATATAGAGTAGGCCTTTTAAAAAACTTCTTAATGTAACAATGTAAGTATACTTGTTTATTCTCTCTAAGGAATGGAAAAACTGTACTCTTCCAGACAGAGTTGGTCTCTGGCTCCCACCACCCATCAAACAGGGTCAATGATGAGTGGACTGTAAGAGCTGAGGCCCTTTGGATGATTTCTTCCAGAAGTGGTAGACATCATCATCTGCCTGTATAATAATGGTGCTAGAGAGACGGAGGGTGTTTAGGTATTTATAAGGCAACAGAAAACCAACATGCAGACAGAAGTTCATCATACTGAATCACCTTTGCCAAAGTT